TACAAAAAGTGGGAGAAGTCTTTGCCATTTTTTTATGCTAAATGGTATTTTTATAGGCTTAGTGAGTTTCAAAAACTATTTGCCTTTTTGATATAGTTCCATGAAATTCTGAGCATAAATATATCTCACTAAACAGAAATAAAACTGGGCATGAAGCTTTGTACTTGAATATACCTTAAGAAAAAACAGTTTGAATTTTAGGTGACTCCTAGATAAAGCTTTGGCCTTTGTACATCTGTTATGAAAATCTTACCTCACTAAAAGCTAGTTGCACAATTGGTCATGAGTTTTATGAAAGCTTTTGTAGTTGCATGGGCAGAAAAAACTTAGGTAGAAAAGTTCATACATCTTTAAAATTACATTATATTATTTTATAAAGGAATTGTGGAAAATGAAGAAATATTCTGTTTAGGTGTGGCACAGAAAACTAGGGCAACACTTACTTTTAGAAATATCAAGTGTTATTCACTGTTTTAGAATTAATTACTTAATTATCCAGCAGAATACAAAGATCCCAGGGTACCTTAATGGGAACACTACACTTCCAAATAAAATAATTATCACCTGTTATATTACAAGTGCTCTATTTGCTATAATTTTTTAACTACCCACATCTCTGTGTGTAAATAAATACCATTAACAATATTAATCTTTCTGTTATAGTAGATGACAAATACAGCAGGACTTGGATCATGTAGTTGATAGGATAGAAATGGTTCAGAGTGGTGTTTTTGTAAGGAAGGCTATAAGACCTGCCTTTTTTTTTTTGGAAAAATTTTCCTTCAACTCAGATCTCATATATATTACCTCATTCCCAATGGTAAACAAAAATGTCAATACTGATACTGTTTATGAATGTGGCTTCTTAGTGCAGTGAGACCACAATGTCTGACCAAAATATTGGTCATTAATGCATCCTTTGGACTGATGTCTGACCAAAAGGGAGAACTGTGGGTGAAAGAATAAAAGGGGGGTTCTATGGAAAATAACCTCACAGGGTGATCTGAGCATTAATTCCTAAGTAGGCAGGTCATGGTGGGTAGTCACATCCCACGTCAAGCTATCCATTGTTCTTGTGTATCTAGGATAATACACTTTTGAAATACCAGAAGTAATACCTCAAAGGGGCTATTAACTCTTAACAGAGCACATGCACTTGTTAACTATCCCATAATCCCAAACCTTGCCTTCATTCCTCCAATCTTCCCTAATTTCAAATGATTAAAAGAAGCTACAAAACTTATTTTCTGGAGCATTTGAGGTCTTGTTCTCCAGTATGTGTCATCAGTTTGATTCAAATAAACTCAAAAAGATCTTTTAAAATATTAATTTTCTATGGTTTATACATAAGAAAACTAAGGCAGAGAAATTGATTTGAATGATCAATTAGGCTTTATGACCTTGAATCATTTGAAGAGGCAGATATTCAATAGGAACAATAGATGTTAGCAGAGAACAAAAATAGTTTTGTGATTATTCGTAAATTATTAGATAGTAATTAATTAAAAATATCACCTTTTTTGCAAGCTGAGTAATCAACTAAATTTTATTTTTTAAAAGAATTACGTGGCATCCTTGATACTATTGGGAATGCCTAAGATATGGTAGAACTTACTTTAGAGTCACCATTCTAGGTACATGGTAGCCACATGACGTTGTGTGTCATTCAAACCATTGGATTAGTAGACTGAAGAGGTGTAATAAATTGAAATTAAAAGCCTCTCATTGGTGCCCTAACAGGTTTGGCTCAGTGGATAGAGTGTTGGACTGAAGGGTCCCAGGTTCAATTCTGGTCAAGGGCATGTACCTTGGTTGCAGGCACATCCCCAGTAGGGGGTGTGTAGGAGGCAGCTGATTGATATTTCTCTCTCATGGATGTTTCTAACTCTCTATTTTTCTCCCTTCATCTCTTTAAAAAAAATCAATAAAATATTTTTTAAAAAGTCTCTCATTGGGGATAAATCCAGGTTTACAAACCACATCTTGCCAATACTTTTATGAAACAGTAGCAATTTGTTAAGATGGGTATGAACAATGCAAAGATGGGTAGAAGCTTTGGGCCATCAGGACAGTTGATACCCCTTTGTAAGACCATAATCACTAAGGTGAAAACTACTATTGGAGCAGACATTTACAGAGCCAAGGAAAGCGAACACCATCTCCAAAACATTGAATCAAAAAGGCAACAGGAGACAAGGCTGGTCAGGCACAGTCATAAAGCCTACAAAGTAAAGGGATGCTCTCTGATCGAGTGGCCCAGAACTGAGACTCACTGTACAGGGGAAAAAAAAAAAGGTGAATATTGCCCATTTGGGGAGAACCTGAGCTACAAGGAAGCCAGTCAACTAAACCTGATTTGGGGAGATAAGTACGATAGTGAGTTTCTGATAATTTGAAAGGACTCCACTTCAGGCCCATTTGAGCCAAAGAATGGACACATTTTAGCCTGACTCTGCTTTGGTGTTGTGAAATGGTTGGAGGTAAACAGAAAAAAGTTGCTTTGAGGTTTCATTACAGAAATATTGCTGGTATGTGGATAGCTAAAGGGCAGACATTTCATTTAGCTACATATTTATGTCACTGAATTTATTTTACATGGTGAGGATCTCTTGTCTGATGGCACCCATTCTCTGAGATAATTGACGCACACATATAAGGAGGTTCTGAATTCATTTGGATAGTAGAGTTTAATTGCAATGTATAAAATATTTGTGTTGCATACAGTTTGCTCCCAAAGTTGGAAATATTCACTACTGCATAATAAAAATATTTCATATTTCTACAGTCTGTTGGAAAAAATTTTTTTCCAATATTTCTTAGGCTCCTCCAGTTGAGGGCTAGAGATTTGTGGCTAGCATGGAAACAATTTACTTATTATCTACATATCATTGAGATATTGAAACCTGAGCTTCCTTTTATGTTAAACATATTCTCAATTGTCAACAATTTGTTCTTAGTTCCATATTCAAAAGGTTACTGTTTCTTGCATGGAAGAATCAAAGAAATAAAAGAGAGCACCATAAGTGGTCCAAACCTCACACTACATACACCGACAAACAGACCATATAGGGTTTGGCAAGTGACGGGAACTGTGAAAGAATTCACAGAGAGAAGAGAGAGATGCAGAGAGAGAATTTTTATTTTACTTTCCCCAAAGGGAAAGGCTCTGTGCACTGCTGATAAATATAGGGGCAAGAATAAAAAGGCAGCTTCCTCCTTTAAAGGGTAACAGCTGCGATTGCTAGGTGACAAGGAAGGACAGAAGATTTGGGGCTGAGACATCCAATGGACGTTCTAGAGAGCTATCTTATCAGTATAGTTCCCAAATCTGTAAAACATGCTTACAGCAAAAGTTATGAAGAGTTCAAAAGAGGCTTGTTTGAAGGGGAAAAAGGAAGGGAACTTTCTACTAACTAGACACTCCCTAGTGCAAATTATCCCCGAGTTGTAAAAACAGTGGGAAGGAGAGGTATGCAAGAATGTAGCCTTGAAAGTAACTTACCTTGTCTTGCAGTTTGAACAGAGAGGCTGTTTGAATCAGAGGAGCTAACAATCTTGGGATTTAATTACCAGGTGCTTCTCATAAGTTGTGGAAGGCCACAACAAGGAAAAAGAAGGGCCTTTTTCCTGTCCTTACATTAAAGGCCTTTCTCATAACATATAATGCTGGAATATCCATGAACAGAAACATGGTTTTAAAATTTTCCAAATCTATACCTAAATAAAAATAATTACTTAAATTCAATTGTTAGATTAAATTTACTTAAAATTCAAACTTCTCACATCACTCTTCTAAGTGCAGTGTGTTTTGCCATCCAGTTTTGGAATGGTGCAAGTGCACTTAAAATACATACCCATATTTTCCGGTGTATAAGACGACCCCCAAATTTTTACAGTTAAAACATGGGTTTAGGCCTATATTCGCTGTATAAGACTACCCCCCACTTCAAAGAAAAGACTTACTTTGCCATCAAGATCTGCAGGTAATTTCTGTGCAATTTGGTCTTTTGCCCCCCGATTTTCGGTTGACTGTTTTTTTGGTTCAAAAGTCGTCTTATACGCCGGAAAATACGGTATGTATGAATGTTATGATTTTACATTTTTAAGGATGAAAGGAGGCATAGAATTTTACAAAAAGTGTGATATAGACAGGTCCTTTGCAACTTTATTTAAAGTTTTATTGTTATTTATTCTTGTTAGAAATATGCTTTGAAAAATCTAATTTTATACATATTAAAATTAGATTTTGTTATATATAAATTGTGACCAGATAAATTTATCTTTTCACTGAGCTAAAAAGACAAATGCTTTTCCTTTGCTGCCTCTACACGCTCTAGATCTTCTTTTACGAGTAGCATGCCATTATTTCCTTGGGCCTTCCCTGACTATTGTAGTTTGGGTGCACTCCTTTGCCAGTCTCATGGTGAATAGATGCTTTTTTTCTCCCTCTTCCATATGTTTTCTTCCCCTTTGAATACATTTCACAGATGACTGTCTTCCAAAATAACAACATCAGTTAATTTTTTACCTTAAAAAATCATACATATCCCTGAGTCTGCCCTCTCTATTGATGTGTAGTGTGTGGAAGAGGCTGTGTGGGGACAGATAAGCCCCATTTGTGAAGTCTCTTCAGTTGGCGGCCAGGCACTCACTGCAAATGGGCTGTTTATTCAGCCAGAACTGGCCCAAGCTGGGCTGAGAGTTGACCCACCTTCTCAGAGGGCTCTGAAGCCAAGCCAGGAGATAGCTCTACTTTCATGCCTGTGATTGGATGTTGTTCTGTGTTGTATGTTTTTGAATAGACAGTTTTTCTTTAGAAGGCTCCCTCTGTTTGCTATGATGGTTTTCACTCCTTTTCCCTTTTTGCAGAATCTGATGATCTCCGTGGGGACCCTGCACTCAGCCATCAAAGTGCTCCTGCCCCCCAGGATGCTTGTACTTCAGTAGTCGATGCTGGTGGCCTTAGAAGCATCACCCAGTGTCCCAAACAGCTTCCTCAGATGATGGCTGCAGGTAAGTCGGTGGCCAGCCCAGGACACGAGGCATTTTGAGTTTTAGTGGAAAAGCTTGCCCAGGGATGAAAATATGCATGGAACCCAGAACCTGGGCTCCTTAAAGAAATCAGGCTGTGGAACAAGTGAACATCAAAGAACATGAAGCCAACTTTAACATATTTTGTGGTGTGTATGTGTTGTTGTTGTTTTAGCTCTGTGCTATTTGTAGTACCATTTATTTGTTTATTTGGTTTCAGTGAAAGTGTGCTTTACAAGAAATATTTTGGAGAAGTCATATTTTCTTAATGCAATGCTGTAAAGAGTTTATGAAGGAGGAAATCTGTTACAAGGTAACAGTAAGTTCAGTCAGGACCATTTTTATGCTTACAACTATTCTAGAGATTCTATTAGTTAAAAGGTGTGCCTGCTCCAGCACTTATATATCCTCCATCTCCCAAGCCAATTGACTTGTGTTACCACGAGAGTATTCCTCCTGCCTTTTCTGGCAACCTTGGTTCTTAACTGATGTTGTTTCACTAGGAGAAGAAAGCGATTCTTCATGTTTTTCCAGAAGTACTTTCTTAATGGCGTTCTGAGTATAATATAAACTACATGCCATTAAGTTTCCTCCCAGAATGTGTTCGGAAACTCTTTATATTTATGTCTGAAGGAAACATTGCTGTAGATTATATGCTTTTTTGTTTTGTGGTTTGGGAAAATGCTACATGAAGCCTCATATCTCTAGAAACATGGTTTCCTTTAAAACAAATACCCTTGGCTATTGACTCTCAGTCATTGTTTATTTTTTTCCTGCAGCGGCCGATGGTTTGGGGAGTATAGCGATAGACACAACCCAGCTCAACATGTCCGTGACAGACCCCACGGCCTGGGCCACCGCCATGAATAATTTGGGCATGGTTCCCGTGGGCTTGCCTGGACAGCAGCTCGTGTCTGGTAAGCTCTCTCCTGGGTTTGAAGCAGCCGTGGCAGAGGCTGGAGGTGACAGGTGCCCAGTAATCTCTCCGCACGCAAGTGTTGAGCATGGCCAGTGATTTATGACTGGGGCATGTTTGGCAGGTTGTGATTGAGATTCTTTGCCTCATCACCTTGCTCTTTTGCCTAATAGCTGTTCTCAGAAAAAAAAAAAAAAAAAAAAGGCCGTATGCAGCATCTATCATCTGCAGCATTGCAACATCAACCTCATATTTTTTAAAATTAGTAAACAGAGGGCTAATATTTGCTTTCCAATTTGCAAAACTCTTTCACATGCCTTATGCCAAGTGACTCCATAGTCTTCTCTTTGACACAGATGGATACTTATTGTTGCTCTTGTTAATGTTCTCATTTAAAAATAGGGAAGCAGAGGCTCAGACTTCAGGTTACTTTTTTTTTTAAATTTCTTTATTGATTAAGGTATTACATATTTGTCCTCAACTCCCCATTCCAATTTCCCTCTCTTCCCCACTCATGCTCCCATCCCCCCTATTGTTCTTGACCACTAGTTAGGCTCATATGTGTGCACATAAGTCCTTTGGTTGATCTCTCCCTTTTATCTCCACCCTCCCTTTGAGGTCCAACAGTCTGACCCATGGCTCCTTATCTCTGGTTTGTTCCTGTTCATCAGTCTATGTTGCATAGTGATTATTGCTTGTCTCATTTTTTATTCTTATAAGTATATTTCCAGTAGGACATGATCTCACTTATCTAGGGGAAATGGTGAACAACATAGACTGATGAACAGGATCAGGTTACTTTTTCAGCATTGAAGCAGCAGAGCTAGAAATCCATTCAGTTCCACCTTTTCTTTCCACCACACTTTGGAATCAAAATAGAATGCATTCAACAGGGAAAATGTTTATAAATGTCACAAAGCAGGAAGTCATCATTTACTTTGATACATGTTTACTGAGCTTTTCCATGTGCCCTCTAACAAAAGCTTTGAGAAATAAAAGCTACACCTATATAAGCGTCCTTGAGGAGCATGTCTCCCTAAATTGAAAAACACAACAACAACAAAACCCAGCATAGTAGAATCAGTTGTAAAGTAGTGGTTCATGCTAGGAATGTAGTCATTTCCAGAAAGATCTATTTCCGAGGCTCTGAGGAAGATGTTATCAGGAAGATGGGAGTTGATCTGTCTGGAAGGATACACAGGATTTGTATGTATTCACTCCTTCATTCATTCAACACATATTTATTGAGACACTATCCTGATGCATGGACTCCAGCAGTAAACAAAACAGGCATAGTCCTTGCCCTTCCAGAATGTGCAATAGAAAGTGATAGTCAATTATAACACTATGTTCCATTCCTACAGGCCTGTGTAGTTTGTACTGAATTGACTAAGCATTTAGTTTCTTTCTTTTTTTTTTTTTTTGGTGGTGGTGGTGGGGGGGGTCAATATTGGCCATAGATGTAAAAGTCTAAACTATCTATAGTAAATTATACATAATTTATGCATATGTGTACATATATGCACGCACATATGTACACACACACTCACACACATACACACACACATATATATATATATAATTCTTAAATATAACAAGAATGAACACAAGAGAGGATGGGAGATGGGGAAAGTGAGAGACAGCAAAAGGAAAGTCAAAGATTGAGTTATAAAACATTATACTTTTATGTATGTAATTCTCCAAATGTCATAAACGTCATACAATTGAAGATTAGTCTGCTATGGGCTGTGTGTATATGCACATGAATGACATTTCCGACGATTTAAATGTGTGTTTATTCAGACTCCTTTTTCCCAAAGCTAATCTAGACAGATACTTCCTTCTAACAACTTGAGAATAAAGATTTGTATTTTTCTACCCACATTTTTCCTCATTTTCTATCCACATAATTGAAATATTCATGTAACAGAAATTTCTTTTCTTTTTCTCCACCTTCCATTTCTCTCAGCATCTCAGAAAATGTTGAGTGGCTTCCAGAGTGAGCCACACCTCAACAATTCATTATTTTTTCTTATTATTTTGAGTCTTCTGACATTTTAACCATGACCAATTTATGATTTTCTCACCAACTTACCATGTAAAGAATTACAGCCCTACTCATTATCAAAGATTTACCATATCTGTCCTGAATTACTTTCTGTATCTCCTTATTAGCCAAACTGCCTTTCATGGTCTTCCTAAGAATCCTTTATCTTTCAACTTTGCTTTGTTCTCGGGGCTGGCTGCCAGCAGCCGGGTATGCAGTATCTCAGGATCAGGCTCTGTTTTATTCCATTAGTGTTCATGTATTTTCTTTTTTTTTCTGTACAAGTATTTTAATCATATTAAATATAAGATTTTCCGTATGCATTTTAATACCTTATTGTAAATTATTTTCCATTTTACAGTTTTATATTTAAAAATTATAAAACTCTGTTGAGTAAATATTTCCTACTTTATTTAATTATTCTAATTTTACATTTAAGCTGACTCCATTTTATCCCTATGACTAGCCAACTTTCTTTGAAGACCTTAATTTCTTCAAGCCTATAAAAAGCATTTCATCTTTTCTGCACAATGATGATAGTATCTCTTTCATGGCACTATTGTGAGATTTAAATATGGTAAACTGCCTAAAATACAACCGTTTGTTTTTTTCTGGCATCGTCAGAGAGCCACAGAGTGTTGCTTCTCTCTCAGTTTTCATACCACCACCTCTGGAATTCTTCGTTGTGGCTGTAGAATGTTAGAGGCTGTCTTTAATGTCTCAGAAGGGATTTTAAGATTATTTAGTGTAACCTTCCTTCCAAGAAATCGCCTCTAAAATATCTTTGACAGGATTATGGAGAGGCTGGATTTTATGAGCACTTGGCTTTCTTCCAAAGTTTCTGATATTTCTAAATGACCAACTACTCTTCTCATATTAACTAAACCCATTCCTTACTACTTCTTCTGTTTAATAAAATTATTAGCAAAGCAAAGTGTATAGTTTCATATTCTCTGATTTTTAGCAAAGCGATTTTTCAGGACATCAGATCACTTATGACAGGCCTTTCTGAGCTGTAATTCTAAGTTCCCACAATTCTGCCTCTTCCATTTTCCTCCCACTTCGTCATCCAGATATTCCCCTCTACAATCCTATTTCCACTTTTAGGAACTTCCCTTTTACTCTCTTCAATATGAAGTGCTACTTGGGATCATTACGTTGAGTTTGTTCATTTTATCCAAAATATATCATTATATTAAATACCATACTCCAAAGTCTTGGTTTATCTATAAGATAATATTTACCTCTGATGTTACTGTTTTGTGTTTATTTTATTCCCCATACTTTTAGATTTGTAGAATTATTATTATTGTTGTTGATTTGTTCTTATTACTTTGTGCATTGGCATTATCAATTTATGGTTGTTGGCATCAATTCAACATCAATAGGCTTCCCCAATTCGAGGTTCAGTGGAGAAGGAAACTTTACTCAGTGGAAACAGCTCAATTGCGATTCAGCACAGCTGTGAAAACAGCTTGGCTGTTAGGAGGCCCTGGGACATACCCCTTGCCAGCTAGATAGCTCTGCTGCACTCCCTCTGTTTTGTACAGGTCTGCTCTGCCCTGTGCTGGTTTGCTCTGCTCTGCTGAGTAAGACATCTTTGGCATTTCGGCTCCAGCCAGGGAAGCACAGTCTTTAGGCTTGGGTGGAAAGGGAAAGCAGAGGGGAGCTGACTTATATAGATAAACGGTTGTGCCCCTGATTGCTGATTGGTTTGTTCTCATGCAAATGAGGACTCCAAATCCTTGAAGTTTGATTAGTTCAAAAGGCACTTGCTGATTGGTCAGAAAAGAACTGCTCTGAGTGGTCAGTGTAGCTCTGATTGGATGGAGAACACTCAGTCCTACTGAGTGAAATAGGATTCCATAACTCCCTTATAAAGGCTGGATCAGTTGGCAGAAACAGTGCAGGCAGGCAGTTCAGTGCAGGCTTCACACTGCAGTGCAATTTGCCTGAGAGGCCCCTGTGTGGAAATGGCTGCTGGATTCTGTTTTTTAAATTTTAGCTAGTTAGCCACCAGCAGCTCTTCTTAGCAGGTATCTTCTTTCTTGGGGTCCAGAGTGTAGAACCAGGCTTTCTAAACTGCTCTGTGGGAACATCAGTTGTTAGATAGGGCAGATGTCATATAAGCATTTATATGGTCCAACAATTGTGGTAAACTTTGTGTTTAACTCAAGCAATTTGCTTTCTTTGTGTGTTTCCTCAGAGCCTTTACTATGCTAATGTGCAAAGTTAGTTCCCGAAGTCGTATCTAGTATGTAGGATTCCCCAAACTTAAGTTAGCCTTTTTTAAAAAAAAAAATCTGTGAGCATCTCAGGAGACACTGGAATATAGCCATCTACCAAATTTCCCACCAACCGTGGAGATGCTTTCCCAGTACTGTCTATCTTTCTCTGCCATATTGTGATACCTTCCTATGATCTGGCTTACAATTTTATTTGTGTTTTCACTGAACAGTGTCACTCCATAATCTCACATTTCAAAATAACCCTCTTGTGGTCAGGGGTTGCCTGAGCCCTCCCAGTTTTCTGTGACCCGCAGTCTTGCTTCATAGGAGCCCCCACCTCTGGGGTCATAAGCTGACATCCAGAATATTACATTCTGAGTTTTGAAACCATCTGTGGGACCAGCTCTCCCTTCCTATATATCCTGGCTTCTTTTTCAAAGTTATAATCAGCAACTGGAAGAGTTGAAAAGCAGCTGAGTCTCCAGGTTTTAAATTTCTTGTCCAGGCACACATGGGAACTGTAATGCTTTCTGGATATTACCATGGCTATGATATTATACCTTGCTTGTCCCTAAACTTTTTGAATTGTTTTTCCCCAAATGTCAGCAATTCCCCCTCAGTTGTTATTGAGTTTAAGTTGACATATTTTTTATCCCAGGTTTCTTAGCATGCCATTTGTTATATTTCAAATACATGTCCTGAACAAGCATCACGCCTCCCTATTAG